TCGTAGGATTCCGTCGCTATGTTCTTTTGACTTACTAGCCGCGCCCCCGCGATAATCGGGGCAAAAATAATATCGGCGTACTCGCCCTTCTAAGGCGGATCGAACGGTGTATAGTATATATATCTAGCACGCTGCGTGGTGGAAAACTAAAGTTATTAGAGGCGGTTAGGGTAGGCGCGACGTGGCCGTACTTCGACGCCCAAAAGGGTAAAGATAATTAGGGTTTAACCCTAAATTGTATAGCTAGCTCTAGACGGGGTTCGCTTAGCCAGATCTAGGCTAGGGCTCTATCAGTAATGCCGTAAACATTATACGGTGAAATGTTTAAAAGGTCTAATTAGACCGGGGCTTAGAGACCTACCTTAACCGTGGAATATTTGAAAAAGTCACTATAGAATATTTAGTATTCTCGCTCGATTTCCGGGATAATAATTATATCGTTAAGTTCGTCTCCGTGAGTACTCCCTAATACCGTTAAGTCTATAGCCTTTCGAGACGTGGTTATTATACTATAAGTTTAATAGAGTGTAGGTATTTTAGGGGTTATAGTTAATATAACGCGCGCCTCACGTCGATATACTCCCCCGTAGTGCGTGACGAGCTTCGTACTCCTCTGTATATTCTATATACTTAAGGTTATCTAGTCTTAATTTGGTTATTACCGAAGGGGTAGATAGACTCCCGTATACGATATAGGATATAAGGATTATTAATCGAGATATATAGAATACTAAAAACTCTCTTTAGGTAGCTTAGAGGGTTGTTAAGGACTCCCGTACGCGGTACGGGACACTAGAATACATTACTCTAGGGGATTATGTTTACGTCTTATATTTGATATCGTATAGATAAGAGAAGGAATATAGAGAGAGAGACGAGAATCAAACCCCCTACCTATATTATATTTATTTATATATATATATTTGACCCATCGAAAACTTTTCAAAATATAAAGGAAGATCTAGGTTCGAATCCTAGTATTTTCATTATGTTATCCTTTAGTACTTTTCATTGTAGAGGTACTAAAGGATAATATATAGGGAATATAGTACTAATGGTAGAATATCCTTTATTTTTTGCTAGATCTAATAGCTAGCTAGTAAGTAGACTAACTAGAAAAAAAATAACTAGCTAGTAGTCAGAATCGAACTAGTTATCTAGTATAGATAAATTAAGATATATATATTTAATCCGCCGTAAATCTCCTAAGATATAAAGGAAGATCTAGGTTCGAATCCTAGTATTTTTATGATATTCTCGCTTATACTCTTTTATAATAGAAGAGAGTGAGAGAGGGTATCTAGGGAATATAGTACTAACGGTAAAATATCCTTTATTTTTTACTAGGTCTAATAGATAGATAGTAAGTGAACTAATTAGAAAAAAAAAACTTACTAGTCGCTGGAATCGAACTGGCTACCCGGTAGAGATAAATTAAGATATATATATTTGATCCGTCGAAAATCTTTCAAAATACAAAGGAAGATCTAGGTTCGAATCCTAGTGTTCTTATTGATGTTATCTTTAAGGACTTTACGGTATCGGAGTGTTTAAAGATAATATCCCGGGAATATAGTACTAACGGTAGAATATCCTTTATTTTTTATATATTAGGTTATATTACTCGATAGACTAACTAGGAAAAGAAGAATATTTAGCTAGTAGTTAGAACTAAGTATTCTACTTATATTATAAAGCCTCTTCAAATCCTAGACTTTTCATATAAACTAGCCTATTCCTGAATAGGCTTTCGAAGCAGCTCTGGAGTACGAATATAGCTATAACGTGACGGGAAAGAAAAGAGCCGACTCCCTTACAGTGGGAGAGATATTAACGAGGTGGCCGTAGTAGATATCTATTACGAGTCGCCTTACAACACGTGAGGTGTCAACGAGCAAACCCGAGGTGGTTTACTTAGTAATATAGCAGTGGGGCTTAATATAGCGGAGACGGAAACCAAGAGTACAGTATATAACTGTACGTAAAGCGATATAACCGAGAATAACTCGATTATCTGTAACTGAGGTTGACTATGCTTCCTATAGAAGTATCCCTAGCTGACTATATACTTTAGGTAGGTTTCCTATCTAGGTAGGTCTAGGTATTGCACTATTGCACCTATTGTAGTCCTTTGTTATGCAATATAGCAACGAGTATAATAGACTTTTTCCTTTCCTGGTCTGTCACGTATTGATCAGCCTTACTAACGAGGCTACGCCCTTCCTCGCTTGACCTTCCCCTCTGCCCTAGGTTACCTAGCCGTATGAAGGTCGGTTCGTAACACTTCCCCCTCCTTAGCCTATTCGTTATCCGTAACGTACTTAAGGTAGGCTAACACCTACCTCGTTATTCCTATCCTTCTTCTTCTTTATTATAGCTAACTATGTAGGCCTTTAGAGTGCATAAGTCGAAATCTAAACCTCCAAAATCCTCCAAGCCTCTTATCCCCTAGTAGTAGTATCAGAACGAGATTATCGATTATATTAAATCCTCCTAAGAGAATAAAGCTATAGTTACCTATTCTAAGTATATTACTAATAGCGACGTATATTTCTACTCCCGAGAGTAGAGTGTAAAATATATAGTATATTTACGGTATCGAAGAGAATATAACGGAATATTTTCCGTTAAGTAGCTTCGACGGATCGGTAAACAAAAGAAATAATTAGTCTCTAAGTCGCGCTCGAAGAAGCGCAAGATTACTTATCTCCGTAAGACTCTAGTAGAGACTCGCCGGTCTCTAGCGGCGCTAGAGTCTAATCTTGCCGAGTTCGAGGAGGAGGACTCTAAGCTGTAGGAGTCTATCGCGAAACTAGATAAGCTATCTAGTAATATATTGAAGAGAGAAATATAGGCGTTAAGTACTTTCGATAAGCTTCCTATAGATGAGAAGATAGCTCTAGTAAAGTCTAAATTTATATAGTAGGATATTCTATAGACCGAGTTAGTAGACTAGGATACGGTATTAAACTTTAGTAGAGATCCGGGGGCGGCCGCCTAACCGTATTCTGGTCTGGCCGGGTGGCCCGTCCACATATTAATCTAGTCTTGGCGTTAAGGGTCGGGTGTCTCGCCCACGGGTGGTCCGTCTATTCCCAAAAATTCTTAGTCATCCCACTTCACTTTTAGATCAGGTAGCGAGGTCGAATTCCCGCTATATCATCACTACGCCGTGTATAATCATTATTAGGGTTATTGCAGTCTATTCAGTATGTCGAACAGTCCATCTGAGTCGAATTTTGAGACTCTAGACTCATTGCGCAGGTCGATAGTGGATGAAGATGTGCCGGAGACCGGCGAAAATCCGCCGCAGCCCACTCCGACACCGCCAGTTCAATAGCTCCGGCCACTATCAGAGTACGGTGTGATTCTTTGCACGGAGCACTAGATATACTACACGCTAGGCTCGAATCTACGCGAACATCTGAAGAGGAAGCACGCCGTGAAAGGTAAGCGGGCCAAAGAGATTGAAGGCTAGGTAGTAGCACAGAACGTAGCGGCCGAGGTGACTTACCCGCCGGATTACAACCTATTTATCTACGGGCTGCAGTTCCACGAAGGCTTCGCTTACACCGCTACCGAGTTATGTAGATATCTCCGGGCTAGCGAGGAGAAACTGCAGCGACACTATAGTAAAGAGCATAGGGTCGATACACGGCGCAAATAGAAGGAGCGGTCTATATATCGTAAGGTGATACTATAGTGTTTCTTTACTAAAGCCACGGATTACTGGATCGTAGAGGGGGATTTGGGCAGCTCCGGAACCCAGGAGCGAGAAGTTCCACGCGCTCTAGGCGCTAGCTCTAGTTCTTAGCGCTCCGTATCGACAGTATATTCATCAAGCAACCGTTCTAACACTTAGAGTCACTATATGGCTCATGCACTTACCGCCAGGCTAAAGACTACTATTAAAGATAACGAGGGCCGCTATCGGTAGCTTAGTGAACCCAACTATGTCTCTGAAATATCGCCATGGCTCCGAAAGAGTACATTCTACCAGTACTTGGCTGGCTTAGAAGCCGAATCTGTTGCTATATCCCATCTTGTACCCAAATCTGACGAAGATGACGTAAGATTGTATAAGTTAGTTTAGTCCGTCGAGCGTATGTTGCGAAAAGCGTACGAGTTAGTGCCCGATTTGCTACATATCGATGCGCGAGTATTGAATACATTTCAAGCTAGCACGATATCTCAGGATCCATTTCAGTTGTTACAGAATAAGTCGTCATTTCAGAATTATCTGACTGTATTCCAATCTATACTGTGTTACTATATCCGCGTATTTGAAGGTCATTTTGAGAAAGAGATGTTTATTACGAGCGATTCCCAGGTAGAGACATTGACTTTGGCGTTAGGTGTCAGCGAGAAATTGGGTTAGGGTTAGGGTTAGGGTTAGGGTTAGGGTTAGGGTTAGGGTTAGGGTTAGGGTTAGGGTTAGGGTTAGGGTTAGGGTTAGGGTTAGGGTT